TTCCAGATTTTACTTCAGACTAAATTTAATCTGATCATGAGGACTGAACATCCCCTCCCCATGCATATGACCAAGCAGACCAAAGTAGCACTAACTGGTTGAAAGTTTTATATCCACATGAGGACTCAAAGTGCATTGGGATGTTGCTGGAACAGAGTTTTAGTTTCTTCCGAAGTTCCCAGACTCCAGAAGAGCCCTGAAGAGCAAAGCAATCTCCAGTAACTGGGGACAGCTAGAGAATTTGGCTTGAAACTGCACTGCCACTTTGAAGAAAAATGCAGATTCAATCACGTATTATTCCACCTAGCATGACAAATGCTCTAAAATATTCCAGCTTTGAGCATTGAGTAATCACATTGTTTGCAGCTGTACACTGCTGTTGGTGACAAGGCTAACTAATTCTTGCTCAAGGCCCTGTGGGATCATTCTGTAATATGTTTCTACTTTTAGCAGGATTATACCCTCTGCCATCGGATGTTTTCATTGACAGCACTGGATTTTTCACCTAAGTGTGTCAAAGTTATGCTTATTGTACTGCACCAATATCTGAAATATGATTAAAGCAGCGTTTAGGTAAAGATCAGATGCAGAAATAAAGGATATCAGGAAATATATGCTAATTTTGAATAGTCCTCAAGCTTTAGAGCCTGAAAGTGTAAGCAGCTAATCCAGAGAAACAGTACAACAGACACAATACACTACTCAGAACTATTTTCCATTTATATGAGCAATACAAACAGCTGCTTCTGAAGCTTCCGCTATAAAACCAAAACACTGCCATAATTAATTAATGGTCCAAGATAATATAGCTGTACAAGCATAGTATATCTTTCTACAGTGTTTCAAGTTATTTCTGTAATAAAAGCCATTAAAAGCTCTCTCCTACACCACTCCAGTCAATGAGAAATCTGCATTCAAACAGAATTCGCAACAAAGGCCCTGAATCAAAGCTCTTAAGAATTTCTAAGTCTTATTGAGGTCAATGTAAAGCAAGCTTGCACTCGAGTGCTTTGCTAGAAGGAGTAAAACTGTTATTTTTTTTTTTTTTGCCTGTTTATCTAAGTAAACAAAAAAAGGCAGCAGAAGATGGTTTTTGAGTTTTACCATCACAGCTTTGAGACAGAATGGCTCAGCTGGAAGACGTGGAAATTAGCCTGTGGAAAGAAGCTCTGCAGACCTCACAGCAAGTGAGAAAACAGCACAACATTTATCTTCCCTATAACTTAATATTCTACTTCTGGTGCTAAGTAGATGTGAACTGAGCCAAAGTCTCCATGATGTCTTATTCTGATTTATACAGCCAGGGTATTTCAACATACCAGTGGGACACAAATCTTTATACAACAATAAATAAATACTTTTTACCCCAAAAAGTTTTCTTTACACAGAGCTTGATAAATGCTGACACATATGTCAGCATTTATTTGGTAGACACAATGTCTACCAAACGTAGCAGAATGGTAACAAAATGGTAAAATGGCATTCTGAATGTGAAAAACTTATCAGAGAAAGAATGTTAAAAATTTATCAGAGAAGAACAGAGCATTCAATCTGTACAGACATACAAAAATAAAAGATATCTTTGCAATACAGCAAAGATACCAATCACCGATTCTCATAAGTGAAAGGTCAACATCATTCAAAATCTCCATTCTTTATTGTATATGGGGGGAAACATAATGACAAAGGATGAGGGAAAGGATATTTAATGCATTCTTTACCTCAGCCTTTAATAGTAAGACCAGTTGTTCTTTGGGTACCCAGCCCCTGAGCTTCAAGGCAAGGGCAAGGAAATGAAGGCCCCAGAATCCAGAGAAGTCAGTGACCTGCTACAGCATTTAGACATGTAATCTATCATTTGCCAGCTGTGCTGGAAACTGGGGAGCCCATCTATAAGAAGGAACAGAAGGAGGATGTAGTGGTGAATGGAGTTAAATTCAGTTGGTAGCTGGTCAGAAGTGCCATTCCACAGAGCCCAGTCCTGGGGCCAATTCTGGTTTAATACTTTTGTCAGTGATCTGGAGGAGAGGATCAAGTGCACTCTTAGCAAGTTTACAGATAATACAAAGTGTTGACCTGCTTGAGGGTATGAAGGCTCTGCAGAGGGATCTGGACAGGCTAGATCAATAGGCCAAGGCCAGTCGTATAAGATTTAACAAGGCCCAGTGCCTGGTCTTGCATTTAGGTCACACAGCTTCATGCAATGCTACCGGCTTGGGGAAGAGTGGGTGGAAAGCTGCCCAGCAGAAATGGAACTGGGGGTACTGATCAACAGCCAGCTGAATATCACTCAGCTTGTGCCCAGGCAGCCAAGAAGGCCAACAGCATCCTGGCCTGTATCAGAAATAGTGTGACCAGCAGGACTAGGGCAGTGATTGCCCCCTGTACGTGGCACTGGTGAGGCCACACCTTGAATGCTGTGTTCTGTTTTAGGCCCCTCATTACAAGAAAGGCTTTTCAGAGAAGGGAAATGAAACTGGTGAAGGGTTTAGAGCTCAAGGCTTATAAGGAGGGGCTGAAGAAACTGGGTTTGCTTGGCCTGAAGAAAAGGAGGCTTAGGGAGATCTTATCACTCTACAACTACCTGAAAGGAGGTTTTAGCGAGATGGGCTTCAGGCTCTTCTCCCAAGTAACAAGCAATAGGAAAAGAGGAAATGGCCTCAAGTTGTGCCAGGGGCGGTTTAGATTGAATATGAGGAAAAATTTCTTCATTGAAAGGGTTGTCAACTATTGGAACAGGCTGCCCAGGGAAGTGGTGTAGTCACCTTTCCTGGAGGTATTTAAAAGACACAGTGTTTATGAATGTGGTTTAGTGGTGGACTTGGCAGTGATAGGTTAACAGTTGGACTCTGATCTCAAAGGTCTTTTCCAACATAAATGATTCTGTAATTAAAAATGATTAAAACTGTTGTTTTACCCTGTATGTTACAATGCAGAAATATTTTAAGTGGTAATGTAATAACTATTATGTGATAATTTACCATACTTGACTCGGTCTGTATAGTGATTTTTATATTTATCATAATTTGTTCAACATCTATCTTATATAAGGGTCTTCCATCACTGCTAACCATGGAATCAGAATAAGAATGCTTACACTTTCTTCTGCTGCTTACAATGGAGTCATAAAACAGGTTATACCAAATTTACTATATATTCCTTTAACAACATAATTTTGGAGTATATCATGCAGTATAATTAGAATTATATTAGCATATCATTTTGTTTTGAATCAGTTTACACTTACAATCTTGTGCACTCAATTTTGAGTGTGAAGGTCTTATCAGGAAACTAAATCAAAATCTGATTCCCATTATACACTTTCAGCAGAGGATAACACCCTCCTGAGCAGACACAGGATACTTTTTAAGCTTTGGTAGGAATGGAACAAATGAAATTGCACACAATTAATTACTGTATTTCAAAGCAGTCTGATATTTCTAGAGTCATAGAGTGACCATTATTTTACTGATTACAAAACTTCAGACTCTTACCTTAAACTTTTACCTGCTGTGTTACTGCCTGTATGCACAACCTAAGCAACTGACTAAGGTTCATTGCAGGACACAGCTGTGGTAGGTCATTTCCATTAAGAAAAAAAATAATTAAAAATTCAGATCTTGAGAAATCCTTGTTTGTTTGGTTTGGGTTTTTTTTTTTTTTTTAATAAGAAATAAAGGCAATAGCAAGGTTAAAAAACAAAAAGGATTTTTATCAAAGGGATAAGGAACAAAAGACAGAAGTGTTGCTTTTCTTCTGAGTGTAAACTTCACCTGTAAACATAATGCTTTTAATTAAAGGCAGCTCATACTTGCTATGAAAAAGCTGGTTAGAATGTTTCTAGAAACTTACATTCCCTGTGAAAGTGAATTTACTGTTCAGTAGATGTACATCAGCAAGGCCATCTTGATCATATGAAAACTAAAATAACTATCTGACAAGGGAGCTGCTGTACAATTAAATTATCTTTCTCCTGAAAGATTTTTCAGCTATGCAAGCATTTAAATTTACATACCAGCTGCCCAAGTTATCTTACAGTACAGAAAACAATACTTTTGAGGAAACCTGATCTGTGCATAAGTTATTGGATTTCTAGCTAAAATTTCCCCAAAACAAATGGGGATGGTTAACTTCTTGATGACTTCCAGTAAACCAGTAGACTACAGATTTGCATGAATGTGTGTAACTAGATTGCAAACAGACAAAACAAATGCTAATAACAAAATCCAGCACTTCATTTCTCCTGTCTGTACAGGAAAGATTTTCCTTGATATTTTCCATTGTAGCATAAGGAACTCTTTCTGACCACAATAACAAGCAATTTCAGTGAAAAAATAAATATATTCCAAGTCTCTTCAACAAATCTGCTACAAAAACCACAGTTTTGCCCCACTACAGTACTCAATAGTAAAATCTCATTCTCCTCTCCATTAACCAACCCATTACCTAGAGCAATTATGAAAGCAGTTCCCCCAACACATTTGTTATGATACTTCAGCTTCCCAAATACCAATCAATTTTATTCAGCAACAAGATGTGGAACACATAATAAAAAACCAAGTCCCTCAAACATACAAGCAAAATTGCTGCTTTTTGCTATTAACCCCCCAGGAACTGATTTCTTCAAGGAAAGGCAGGGGACCCAAGATCATTTCTTGCAGTCTACATAATTCCTAAGATCCTGTAGTATATCCCAAACCTGGTTCCTGTTCCATCTCAACACTGTCATACCTTCTGCCAAATCATTCAATTTCTACATCGCTTTAATTTCTGGTATGATTAAAGTGAGAGTGATTCATCCAGACAGTATCAGATGTTGTTTCGTCAGGAAATTGGCCACCCACTGTGTGGTGCAGGATCTGGACAGGCTTTTCAGTGCCTTCCTTCTCCTCTCCTTTATGTCTTCCAGCTCCAGGATCCTACCCTATCTCTTCCAATCACAAGTTGGATTTGCATCACCTCTTTTTGGGACCTGTAAGGCAATTTTCTCTTTCCCACTCCCAGGGATCCAACTGCCTACTGACTTAAAAAAAACAACAAACAAATCCAAATTCTCCATGCCTTACCTAGTAGTGCACACAAAAGCAATAGCCTACAGCTGCCATTCTGGCATGAGTGTAATTGCAAATTGACATAGTGAAGTTATTTACTTCAAGTGAAGAGAGCCTCTCATATTTACAGAGTAGGGACAAAAGTGGACTTGTTAGTAGCAGCAGGCAGAGAAATTCACAGGCTTGGCCTCCAAGGAATTTGGAAACATCCATATCTCCTTTTAATTGTTAACATAAGTTAAATGAACAAGATGGCTTCCAGTAGGTACTGAATTATTTAAGATAATTAATATTTTATTTACTTTCAAGCAAATCAATCCATTCACCAGCATTTTTTCAGAAAGTTAATTCTGTATTCACCACAAAGCCAAACAGCTGTATTCTGCCTTCATACATTTAAATCAAATATGCTTACAAAGGAAACTGTGTATGCTGCAATGTAAAAATTCCCATACTAGTGCTTTAAGCCATAAATGCAATACACATCTCTAGATATGCTGGACGGAATTGAGCTCCTATCTTTTGCAGGAGCCATACTACCTGTAACCTCTCAGGAAACAGATGCTACCTTAATATTGTGGTGCTCAAATCACTGCTAAGGCCAAGTATAAGAGTACTAGGTATAAATCAGATCCAGCGCAATGCCCTTTCTTGCCAGACAATATCATAGACCAGGAAATTATTGCGTACATATGTTAAAATTATTTTGTACCTCCTATTCCCCTCTTCCATTATCTACTACCTTTCTACCTTTCTTACCTCCAGTTATTTCCAGAAGAGTCAATAAATTGCTTCACAACAATTCTACTGTTTCTTCTATTATTCCCTTGTTTCTTTAGCAAACAATAAATAACTGCCTATTATGGTAGTGTTCTGCAGAGGCTGATCGCAGGCACAACTCAGTTTCATACCTGTCTTAAAATCTGGAGGTCTATGGCCACGTTATCTCTGTTCTGGATAAGAGCGCTGTGCTGCTTCTTTCTACCATGATTTAGGGAAGCAATACAGGGCAAGACTATTCACTAAGAACTGCTCCCCACAAAAAAAACAAACAAACAAAAAAAAAAAGTAAAGCATTCATCTCTATATTATCAAGAAATAGTAAAGAAAAAGAGTCATATTCACAGTAGCATGCTCTGATTTCTAAGTTTGCATCTGTACAGAAGAGGCCCATTTCTCAGTCTTGTGATTTTCCTTATGGTGTCTATACTTATTATACAATGATCACAAGTTGAAATATAGAGATACTTAAGTAGGACAAATATTTTCCTTTTCTTCATTATTCAAGCCAAACAGCTAAGGTGTATAAAGAGATATATTTTTTTTAAGAAAACAACCCAAGATTTGATTGAAAACTCTTACTGAATTTTAGAGCAGCCTTTAAAAATCAGTATTCTATCCATCATAGCTATTACATATAACTGACTCATCAATCTAGTGGTGCCAAAATAGCCGAAGCAACTTTAAGATATAGCAGTAAATGTAGGTTTCAGTGCAAAGCTCCACACAGAAAGTATTTGAGAGCTTGGAACATACCTTATTTTGAGATATTTCCCCAGTCCTTCACAGCTGTATATTTTAATACAGCTTTTGAACTCAAAGTAGTGGAGATTTCTTAGTTCTGTTTTTATAACATTGCCTATTAGCACACTGTAAAGGCCAGAAAAAGAAACACCTGTGAACTCTCTGAAGGCTCCTTTGAGAAGATTGAAATGACTACATGACCAGCAGAAAGAGAAAAAAAAAAATAAAGGTGTGTGTGAGGGAGGTGCAAAGTTAAGGCCTATTTTTAAGTTTCTCATCTTGCTTAGAAGACTGACAAAACATCAATGTCTAGCCTACATTTACTGGTGGCTTTATGAATGTTTTGGGTTCTTTTTTCCTGTGCTACACAATGAAGTTATTTACTTGTGAGAAATACTGCTCTATGTCAGCTCCAGCCTAGGAGACCAACAACTTACACTGTCTTTGGCAACATTACAGGACCTGTCACTACATCAAAATGAACTGTTCTTGAATGTCTCCAGTGTATTATGTGCAAATGTGCTTTCCTTTAGTGTTGGGCCTGTAACCTTTCTTGGCTTCCTTTTTTTCCCCCTGGAACACACATACTATTCTTGTACCAAATACACAGTAACAAGCTTGTTTTCATAGAAAATGTGATCATTACTTTGACAGCTGACAAAGTTGTGGCCCATATTCTCTTTTGGTAATAACTCTGCAGATATTTTATTTTCTCCTGTTTACCTACAAAACAGATTTATGGTGGCAGGAAGCATAAGGATAGAAGGGTAACCAAATCCAGTTTTAACCCACTCTTGTCTGCTAAGACTTTGGGGACACATAGCTCATTCATTCACCCCTGAATACCATTTGTGTTTCTGGGTATATTAGGGCTGGTAGTGGATAGGTCCCAGCTATGTCTCAATAGTGCTGAATTTGTTGGCATATTTAGAACACAGTAAGAAGTAAGAAATTTCCTGCCTTTCTTTACCTAATATATCCTGGCCTGCTAATGTGGACAGCAGCAAAGACATCAGGACATTTTCTGGCACAAAATAGATCAGTCTCTGTAAAGATGTGGGAAACTCTAGAAAAGGAAAATTTGTGTACCTGGGAGGGCTCACTGGCCCCTCAGTTTGTGTATATCCTTAGTCTCAGATTCCAATGTGGATAAGAGGTAGACCTACACCAGCCCTCTTTATCTTGCCATCTTTCTATACTAATACTACCTTCTATCAAACAAAAGTATAGGTGCTCGTGGCAAACTTCAGCCATGTCCTGAAGGCAAAAGAAAAGAGATATAGTAAACTCTGGAGCACCCAAGTGTAATCTACAAATGGAGTTGTATTTCTATTTCTGGTACCCACCTGCTCTGCACTCACAGGTAGATTATTTCACCTCTGTGTGCCCTCTTCTGCAGTGTGGCTTTCTCTGTCATTACATTTGAGAACTGAGACAACTGTGCATATGTGCATATAATTATACATCTATGTGTGCAGGTAAGTATTTATATATACAGACATAGATGTAGAACCTCACACAAAGGCAGCTAAACTTGTCGAGACTGCTGATTACCACTTCAGCTCAAAACCTTATGATTTCAGTGGGGGAGGCATATTTTGATTTCTGATTTTTTCAATGTCTTTAAGAAAACAGTGGTAGCTTTTAAGGATAGCCTATGGCTGAATGCAGTGGTGGCTCTAGCACTTTCTTAGCGGGTGGGAATCCATCTCACATATAGTGAGGATTATTGCATGTACATTGCATGTTACGCCTTGCTTCAGTTCATAATTCTGAGTCCATGTGTTCTTGTGGGCTTGATGCGATCATATGCACCATCCATGCTCAGTACAAGATTAAATTAATATTCTGTAAGAGTTTTCAGATAGTTTTCAAAGTTCTGGTGGGTCTATTCCCAAGGTGTGTATGGAAAGAGGAATAAAAAGTATAGTGATGTATTTATAATAGCAAGCTCAAGGGCACTTTTCCTGTGTGATTGCATCCCTCTAGCATTCTTCTCTACAGTTTTTAAACAACAGTTACAGAAAAGCTTTTTGGAGCAAGTAGACTGCTTAAATGAGCATTTGTTTAGGTCTTTGAGGCCATAGTGCTGAAAAGAATTTTAAAGTATTATGATGTAGTTCAATGCTGTCACAAGAGCTAAAGTTGCCTATTATAACTACAGATTCCTTTTTGTCTAGTATTTGTTCATGCATGACCTTTGCCTTAATATATATAGATTTTATGCAAAGGTAACCTAATTTTTAATACACTTTTACTGTTCTAAACCATTTTTCTGAACTGTTTTCCAGTAACTGTATTTAGCAATTGAAATTTGTCAGGGAGATAAACCCAGGGCAGAAATATACTTGAGATTTCCAGTGAAAAATAGCTGCAGCTGGAACAGAGAGAAGACTTAAAATCAGATTTTGAATTATTAACAATAAAAAGGGCCAATGAATATTTTAACAATATTCATAAAAAAGTCAACGTTACTGAGGCAGACAACCAAACAGCTTATCTGCACAGTAAGAGTGCATTACACTGTGAACAGGGAGACATGCCCCCTTCAGTAGCACCTCTTTCAGTGGAGTGAGCTTGACCTCTTTGTATTGAACAGGATGCACAATGAAAGACAAAACTGTCATTACATTTTTTTATGTTTCAAGGTGATGATGCAGTGTCCATCTCTTATTTTGTTTGCTTTTTCTTCATCGTTATAAAACAATAGATGTGAATGATTTCTTTTTCTTTCTTAAAGTTACATTTAAGATTAATATAATGGATTGAAAAAAAAAAAATCTTTAATTCCCGAACTGACTGCAGTACGCATACTAGATACACTAGACAAAGTGGCAAGACTTCAGCTGACAGTCAGGTAAAATGATTAAAGTATGGCATTTAATATCTGCTTAGTATGATGAACTTCACCCTTGGTTTGTTTCCAAAGATGGCTGGTGGGAATCTCACAAGTCATCAGTAATTATCATGATGAATTTGCAGAAGGTGGGTGAATGCCAGGCATGTAAAGAAAGAAAATGCAATGCCCATATTTCTGAAAGAAGGAAGCTAAAAAAAGAGTCAAGGATTTGCAAAAGTGTCATCTTAGTTTCAATTTCAGAAAAATTGTTGTGAAAGAAATCATCAAGCCAACTACTTTTAAACACCAGAATTTTTTAAAAAAGGAATGAAAAAGGAAACATGGATTAGTCTGACAAGTCTTTCTTTCACCAAATCTAATTGCCTTATGTGACATGGAAACACTGTGATAGAAGGAAAGCAAAAGATGTCATATATTGTCTTCTAGTAGTGTTTTGAAAGATATTCATCATCAAGCTAGGGGAACCACAAGAGGGTGAGAGCAAAGATAGCTGTAAAACTATAATCAACCTGCAGTTATTCATGAGGCACTGCGAAAACGAAAAAAATATCCTGAGTAGGCTCCCTGGAGTCTGGTAATATTTAATATTTTCTTTACTGTTCTAGATGACCAGACAGGGTATTCAAATTAAATTTGCAGGCAACACCAAAAGTGATAATGGGACTAAAACATCACCAGCCACTATGCTGAATGCAAGATTTTGAGCTCAAAATGTTCTTGACACTTTTATATGAAAAATTAAAGTTCAGGAACAAATATCATGGTTTACATTTAGGAGAAAATAGTTATGTAAATACACATAAAAGAATTACAAAATGGAATAATTTGCTAATTTTTGACTCATTCTCTTTGATCCGCAACCTAAGGTTGCTGTAACAGATGACTGGCATACAGGGACAAAGGTCCAACATGCGTGTTATGCAAAAAAAAGTCTCCTGCTATACATGGTACTGATGTGGCCATATCTCACGTACTTCTGGATTTCAGCTTCACATTTCTGACCAGTTGTCAAGAGATTAGAGGAAGGAGTAAGTAGAGATTTGAGGAACATTGGTTCTGAGAAAAGATAAATGGCTATTTAGCCTGAAGAATAAAAACAATATGAGGGACAAAAGTCATTAAATATGGAAAAGGCAGCTTCAGAGGAGCAGGGAATCACCTCTTTTCCATGTTCAGTGTGGGGAGAACAGGTAACAAATTTAAACGGCAAGAGGACATGTTCCTGAGCAACATTAAGGAAGGTTTCTATGGCTGAAAGTCAGAACCACTGTCTGGGAAAGTTGTCTGAGAAAGCTGAGAAAAGAACCTCCTTTTAAAGATCTGGTGGGACGGCTTCCTGCCAGGAGCGATGGCGACATAGCTGACCTTCCTTGGGCATAAGGAGGGACTACAATCCCTGCCGCTATAGGCAAGCCCATTAGGACTGTTAACTACCAGCTTTCCCTGCCTGTCCTGTCCTGGTATATGTACTGACTCCGTGGTCACTGCCTGGAGCTGGGCAGCTGGCTACTGGTGGTTCTCAGAGGGGCAACCCAGTGAGGAATACCAACACTGCAACTTGGGCATTGCTTTTGTTGAGCATACTTCACACCAAACAAGCTTTTAGCTGGTAAAACTTTGTGTATGCTCTTAATGTGTCTTCCCATTTTTCCTTATTCATATTTATTCAACTTGGGGTTCTTCAGTTCTTAAGATAAAAAGCACTTATTGCTTTCTGACTTCAATAGCCAAAATAATAAAAATACAGTTGGTAGACTTAAATATTTTTAACCTTTTATGAACTGAAACAGGAAAGCAGATGGTTTTATGCTGATGCACAGTCATTGGTGGTATATGAACATAACCTGTATTCCATCCTGCCAGAGGATGCTTTATTGTTGTTACTGTCATTTATCGTTTAGACTAAAAGAAAGTGCTGCCACTGTTTGTTTAAAATCAAATTAAGTAATTCTACATTGATCTGGAAGAAAACTGTTTAGAAGAAAACAGTGACATTTGCAGCAACAGTAGAGAACTTTAATGCTATGCTAATAACCTAGCCTACACTATGCCACTTTCAATGAATCTGCTGTTATTTACTTATTTTATTGTAATACACATGCAAAAACTATTCTGGAGCTTAGAAGGAATCCTTTAAGTGTCATTATAAAGCTAGCTCTGAAGTATCGTTGTATATATCTACTCATATCTAAAGGAACTAAAAA